TGTTGGTGTGTGTGGACATGCCTGTGTGTCCATGTGCCTACTTCTGAGTGTGTATGCATGTGTATACACTCATGTGAATGTGTGGGTGTGTATGCGTGTGCATGTGCCTGCTTGTGGGTGTGATGCATGTGTGGACATGTGTGTGTACACACATGTGAATGTGTGTACCAGTGCGCATACATGTGTGAATGTGTGTGCACTGGTGTGTACACATGTGAGTGTGTGCCTGTATGTGTGTACACATGTGTTAATGTGTGTGCATGTACCTGCTTGTGGGTACCTGTGTAATGCATGTGTAGACATGTATGTACCTCTGTGTACATGAATATGTATGCCTGTGTGTACACATTTGTGAGTGTGTGTGTACACATATATGGATGTGTGCACCTGTTTGTGCACATGTGTGAATGTGTGCCTGTGTGTGCATGTGTGAATGTGTGTGCCTGTGTGTACACATAGGTGAACGTGTGTGACTGTGCACACATGTGAATGTACCTGTGTGTGCACATGTGTGAATGTGTGTGCCTGTGTGTACACATGTCAATGTGTATGCGCACGTATGTAAATGTACATGTGTGCACATGTGTGAAGTGTACCTATGTGTGCACATGTGTGAATGTGTGTGCCTGTGTGTGCCCAGGCCCAATGGACTCAGCAGGTGGAGGAAGAGATGCCAGGTGGCCTGTAGGCCCTGGATCTGGGTGGGAGCTGGTGGCCGGCCTTGGCCAGTGTGAACAGTCCCCAAAGCCCTGGGTGGGGGCCACTGAACAGGAGAGAGTGAGCACCTGGGCACCCCTGAGGGCCTGTCGAGGTGCGGGGACAGGAGTGTCCCAGAAGGAGGTGAGCCCAGAGAGCCGCGGACACGGCACAGTGGGTTGGGTGTGGGGATGCAGCCTGGCCCATCCGCTGCTCTCCACACCCAGCACAGGCTGGGGACAGCTGCAGGGGCCACAGAGCACCACACTGCTTGCAGGTCTTGGGGCCCCAGGCTCTGAGCAGGGTGGGGAGGGCAGAGCAAACACCCTCAGTGGAGGGGGTGACCTGCTTTACTGTCTCTCTCTCCGCATCAATGGGTTTTATTGGCTACTGGGCTCCAGTGGCTCCCAGAGTGACCTTGCTCAGGAAATCCGGCCTGCAGGACAGGGTGAGGCCACCTCCGGGATCAGGATGGGCTGAGGGGTGGCTATTTGCCAGGCGGGGGTGGTGCGGGGTGGCGGGGGACCGTGGTGCAGCCCCCACAGGCAGAGCCCGTGCTGTGGCCCGCCCTGGGGGCTGAGAGCAGGCGCCCCTGGAGGGGTCAGCGGGGCCCATCCTGGGGTGTCTTGGGACAGGAGGTGGGTAAATACCAGGAAGAGCTTCCCACGGAGTCTGGGGGCTGAGAGCTGGGATGCCCTTTGGGGGTGTCAGGGAGGAGACTGACTGAGAACAGGGTCTTTGCTGGTCACCTGTCAGGGCCGCCGTGGAGCCTGGGACCTCAAAGGCTGGGGGGGCTGCTGAGGCCCTGCAGAGACCACTGAGGCTGTGACCCGCTCCCCGATCCCAGCCTGTGGGGCTCCAGCCCCAGCCTGCCGCCTGCTCTCCCTGCTGTCCTGGCTGCTCAGGGCTGGTTCGGCCACTGTGAGCCTCTGTCCAGGTGGAGTCCTCACCTTGAAGGTCCAGCAACTATCCAGGAACCTGAGGGGGTCCCCATCACTGCCCCCTGCCCTGGACTCTCAGGCTCACCCCTCCCCATTCACTAGGCTGCACATCCGGCCATGGCAGTGACAGGTGTGCATTTGTTGTATCTGCGCTGACGGGGGTCTGGGGTCTCCATCTGGGCGCCTGCGTGGGTCCTGACCAGTGTGGGGGGGAGGGTCTCCATCCAAGCAAACCTCCTCCCTGGCTCCCGCCTCTGGGGAGGGAGCTTGAGTCCCCCTCTCAGCCCGTCTCTTCTCTGACCTCCGCACACACGGCAAACCGTGGCCATGGTCTGGGTGTGGGCAACCAGGCCTGTGGGTACAGGGGCGGGGTACAGGAGGGGAGGGGCACGGCCGTCCACAGGGGCTGGCTGTCCAGGTGAAGGAAACTGACCGTGGGGCAGTGGGAACTGGCCCGATTCCCTTCTGCTCTGCACCCCCGAGTGTCTACTGTGCCCCCACGTGTCCCCCCTCCCCCCATGCCCAGGAAACAGGCGGCCCTTCCATTGCGCAGCTTGAGGAGGGTTTAATGAAAGGACATTTGCAGAGTGGACCCAGGGTCCTCCTATGGCCAAGGGCAGCAGACTTTCTGAGGGCTGAGGGCTGAGGGCCCGTCCTCTCCCCCTCACCCACGTGGCCTATGGGGATCCATGTTCTGGTGGTCATCAGGCCTGAAAGGGTGGCCAGAGGAAGGGTCAGCTTCCAGAGTCCCTTGACCTCTCCCCATTTGGAACCCAGGACCCACCCTCCCAGCTGAGCCCCCAGGGGCCACGCCGAGGGGTCCCTGGCTCCAGGCAGGGGTCCAGTGGGTGCAGGTGTCACGAGAGGGGCCAAGGCTCCCAGGAGCTGTGCTGTGGCCCCTCGGCCCCCTGGACAGTGCACCTGTCTGCCCGTGCATCCTCTGGAGGCCCTGCCCAGAGGAGAGACACAGATGGTGATGACCGGGCAACTTGGAAAGGAGACTCTCTTGATGGACACCCTTGAACACCCTAAATGATGCTGAGTTGTTCACTTTTCGGGCTTCCCTGCTGGCTCAGCTGGTAAAGAATCCGCCTGCAATGCGGGGGACCTGAGTTCGATCCCTGGGTTGGGAAGATCCCCTGGAGAAGGGAAACTCCAGTATTCTGGCCTGGAGAACTCCATGAACTGTATAGTCCATGGGGTCGCAAAGAGTCGGACAAAACTGAGCAACTTTCACTTTGTTCACTTTAAAATGGTACATTTTATGGTTTATGACTTTCACCCAAATTCTAAAAATGGATGTTTTGTTGGAATTCCACCAAACGGAGAAAAACTAAGACAGGAAACGGCTTCCATAGGATTCCGCCTCTGGGCTGCCCCGTGTTCTGGTCGTTTCCAGCTCTCTTCCCCAGGTCAGGTGCACCCTGGTCCCCCCACCCCACCCCAGGCTGCTGTGCGGTGCTTCGAGGATGCTGTTCACCTTCTCGTCTCCTGAGCGAGCTGCGTGGGCATGGATTCCTGAGTCTGGAGCTTCTCATCACTTTGTGGACATGACACCTTCCCCTCACCCCACCTGTTCTCAGTCGTGGGTTTTCACTAAGCCGGGGATGGGAGGAGGCAGGCCTTGCCGCCCATCCTGCACCCACCTGCGGTGTTCCTGGAGCGTCCCAGGCACGGAGGCTCTGACCAGCAGCCTCCACAGGGTTCTTGCTCGCACTCAGGGGAGCCACTACCTGGCCCCTATTCTCTGAGGGCAGGGGTGGCCTTTACTTTGGAGTTGATCGGACACCATCTGTTTGGCCTGCTCTGCTCTCTGGGCCAGCAAGGGGAGCAGGGCTGCCCCGGGGGCTCAGTGGAGCCGCCCCAGTGCCTCTGGTCCAGGCCCCACGGATGGAGTGAGGTGAGAGGGAGGCCCAGTGGGCAGCGAGTCCGCAGATTTCATGGGAATGCCCCCCAGCCCTGCACCCTCAGGGCCCAGTGCACCCCAGGGCCAGACGGGGAGCCCGAGAGAGAGCCAGCTTTGCCTGGGCTACTGGACTGGGCGGCCCTCCCGCCCCCACCCGGCCAGGCTGGCCTGCAGCACTCGCGGGCAGGGTCCCAATTGGGGGCAGGGAGTCCAGACCTTCCACCCCTCATGCTCCTGTGCGGGTGCCTTTATCTCTGCCGTGGGACCCCCCCTCGGCCCCCACGGCCCCTCTTAGCACTCCTGATGCCCTGCTGGTTGCCAGGCACCCTGGGCGTGCCCAGCTATTCCAGCCATAAAAGGACTGAGGCCAAAGGGCCAAAGTGCAGCCTGAGGCTCCTGGGCCCAAGTCAGCATCACTGGCCGGGGCGGGGGGGGGGGGGGGGGCGGGGGGGCGGTACTGAGCGGGTCTTGGGAGGGGCCAGGGAGCAGTCCAGGGCCGCCCTCTGGCGCCCCGCGGGCTCTTCCAGCACCCTCTAGTCCCAGTGGGGCCGGGCTCACCAGTCCTGGGTGCCCCACTCAGTTCCCAACCCCTCGGCTACAGCAAGCCTCCTGGAGTCCTGCTGCCCCCTGCCCTGTGCCACGGCCAGGCCCAGCTGGGCCTTGGGGCTCCTGGGGGCGGGCATTGCTGTGAACCCTGCCCCCCATGCTCTGCATCTTGGGGTACAGACCCTGCTTGTGCTGGGGGTTTGGGGTCACAGCCCCGCCCAGGCCTGAGCTCAGGGACCCAGGCCTCTGAGTCCCAGCTTCCTCCTGGGATGTCCCTGTCCGCTGGTGCGGTGGTTGTAGGGCCTGCATGGGATGCAAGGGCCTCATACCTGGGACCTCAGGAGCCCTCGATCCTGGTCCAGAGCTGGCCCGAAAGCCAGCCTCAGAGGTGGGACTGTCATAGCCCTTGAGGCCCTGCGGAAGGCTGCCGGCTGGAAGCCTCCTCTCCCTGCAGACTCGGAGTCCCAGTAGCCCCTCTCCAGAGGGGGCCCTCCCCTCCCCCATCCCAGGCCACACCAGAGGAGTCAGCCCTGTTTGAGGGGATCCAGCTCCCAGCATCACACACACTTGGAGATCTACACGCCCTCGCTGGACCTCAAAATCTCCACCTGTCCAGGATGCCCCGGTCTGGGAGGGTGGGTTCTGCTGCCCACGGGTGTGTGTGGATGTTCCTGGCTCCAGCCTCACTCAGGGTGGATGTTCCTGAGGGTCATGGGGTTCCGTGCAGCAGGGGAGGGGCGCCGTGCTCCCAGCTGTGTCGCCTCCCCAAGCACGGGGACGAGGGGCTCCCACCCCCTCTCCACCCGCCCAGCCAATAACCATGGTCTGGGGAGGTCTGCCAGAGACCATCTCAGGATGGGCTGGGCTCCTGGGGTGGGGCGGGGTGCCGTGATGAGGAGACAGGACCCGACATGCAGTGTTCTGTGGTCTCAGGGCCCCAGGGTGGAGGCCCCGGCCTGTCCATCACCCAGCAGCCCCAGCAGGCTCGGCCTGGCCGGCCTGCAGCTCCAGCCTCATCCGCCTGGCCCGGGACCTCAGCCAGCATGCTGGGCTCTGGCGGCTCCGGACACTGCTCCTGCCAGGGCCCCAGCCACCTCACCAGCTCAGCATCCTCACTTGGGCGGAGCGGTCACTGGAGGGGAGGCCAGGGAGGGCCCAAAGAGGAGGCAGTGGGTGGTGGGGCCACAGAGGCCGGACAGAAGGTCCCAGAACGGCCAGAGGACACGTGGCAGGAAAGGAACAGGCTCGGAGCGGACCCGAGGGCGGGGCAGCCTGGTGGCTCCTCCTGCGGGGTGGACGAGGCCTCCAGTGGAGAAAGCTGGGCCAGTCCACACACACCTGCCCACAGGGACGGGGCCAGCCTGCTCTCTGCGGGTCCCCGCCAGGTCAAGCTTCAGCATGTGGAAGTGGGAGGTGATACCCCAGGGGTCTGGGGCTCCCTGGGCTCAGGCAAGCATCCTCCTCTCAGCCCACTCAAGACAGACCCGGGGATGCTGCAAGTCCCAGAAGACAGACCCACCGGGGCTGGCAGTGTGTTCACCCAGGCCGAGGCCTGTCCTGGTCCAGCCGGCACCCACCTACTCCACGTCATTGGGCCCGTGGCCTCTGCCGCCCTGAGCACCCTGGAATTCACCACACTCCACCACTCCCCTGGAGCCTCACCAGCGTCCAGCCCAGCACCCAGTATGTGCTTTGTAATTCTCTCACAGCGCGGGGGCCTGGCACAGCCTTTATAAGCGGAAAGGGAACCGGACCAGGGGGGCAAGCTCCTTAGCAGACAAAGGTGCCCCGCCCCAACCCCGCCCACCGCACACCCGGGTCTGCTCCGGAATCTCTTGCTGGGACCCCTCGGTTGGGGTCTGCGTCTAGCAGGTCTGGTGGGTCTGTCTTGCTCCTGCTGGGGCCATGCTCAGCTCAGCGTGTGCATGCAGGCGGCGCTCAATCACAGCTGGCCCCACTCCTAGGCAGGGGGCTTGGGAGGGTGGGCCCTGGGGGCTGGTGGCGCCGGGCCATCAGAGCTCGGCGTCCGGCTTCACCAGGTGGCCGCTGAAGGTGATGTAGAGGTCGCCGCGTTCGCCAAAGATGGCATTGTCGCGGTCGCGCTGGAACATGCGCACCCAGACTGCGTCACCCGCGGCCAGCGGCAGCAGCAGGCTCTGTGCCTGCATCACGCTGCGCTCGCTGGGCTGCGCGTACAGCACGGCGGCCGCGTGCGCATTGCGCATGATGTGCAGGTAGGTCTCCTTGTAGTTCCAGGTGTGCACGTTGAGGCTCAGGAAGTAGACGCCGGGCACGGTGCAGAGGAAGCGTCCGGAGGCCAGGTCGAAGGCGCCGTCCAGGTTGACCAGCTCCATGTCGAAGGTCACTGCCTGGAGGGCGTCGGCGCTGTGCAGCCCCTCCCGTCGGCCCACTGAGAAGGCAGCGTAGGCGCGCGAGCACTGCGCGCCTGGCAGCCCTGCCTGCCCCTTCTGGCCCTTGCGGCCCCGGAGGCCCCGGGAGCCGGGCGGGCCCTCCTTCCCGCTCCTGCCAGAGTGACCTCTGACCCCGGCCTCGCCCTTCTCACCTGCCGGGGAGGGGTGGGGGGTGAGGAGAAGCCCCTGGTCAAGGCTCCCAGGGTCAGATTCTCTGGCCACGCAGCCCTGCAAGTGACCTCACCTCTGTGGGCCTCTGTCTTCTCTCTCATAGCGGCGCTAACCCACCCTCCAAGGGGCAAAGAGAAAGAAGCCACACCCTGAGGGCCTGGCTGTTCTGCGGTCTGTGCTGACGGTCATGCGGGGCCAGAGGGGTCAGGCAGCCGCCAGAGGAAGGGTCTGAACTGGGCTTTGAAAGAAGAGAGCTCTGGGATTCAAGTTCAGTGCAGCCCCCAGGGTGTGGGCCTCCCAGAGCCCCGCCTCTCTCGCCCTCAGAGGGGACCCAGGCCCCTTCCCCTCCGCTGGGGGGTAGGGCTGAGGGTAGCCTCAGGCCCCTTTTCCACAGCCCCTTCCCCGGGACACCCTCTGCCCAACCGGGGGGCGGCCGCGGGGAGCAGGCACCCGTCCATGGTCCCCGCAGGGCCCCCTCCTTCCGAGAGCCCGCCCTGGGCCCTGTCCCCTCCCCTCAGCACAGGTGTCCCTATAGGGCTGGGGATGCTCACCTTTGAGGATCGAGATGTCGATGGTGGGCCGCAGGCGGGGCAGCCGCGCCCACGGGTCCCCGTCGCTCACGTGGGCGCCCGGGCCGGGGGCGGCGGGGGGCCAGGCTGGACGGCAGCACTGCACGCATGGCCGGCGGGGCAGCCCCAGGCCACGCCAGGCCCCAGCAGGCAGTGCCAGGAGCAGCAGGAGGGCAGGGGCCACCATCCGGGCCAGGGCCTGGGGCCGGGCAGGAAGGGAGGAGGAGGGTAGGAGAGGAAGGCGGGGAGCGGAGGGCTCGCCCTGCTGAGCCCCCAGTGCCCCCCTGCGGCAGCCTGGCAGCGCCCCTGTGTGGGGGAGACGACGGGGGGCCCAGGAAGCCACCTGGGTGGGGAGGGACAGCTGGGACCCCTCAAAGGGGCTGTGGTCCCAGAGACCGCGGAGAGCGCCTGGTCAGCCCCTCCCGGACTCTCATCCCGCCCCGACACTGCTGACGGGCCCCTCCCCGGGACTGAGACTCCTCCCTGACACAGCCTGGGGGCCACCACTGCTGGGAGGGCCCCCACCGCCCTCCCCGAGCCCTAGCAAGCGCCGAGGCGGCCGCTGGTGGGATCTGGCACTTCCTGGGCATTGCTCCCTGCTCATGCCCCTCCCTCCCCGAGGCCTTAGTTCTGGGTGGCAGCGGGCACCCTCAGTGCCTGCAGCTGGGGAGTCCAGGTCCCCTAAAGCCCCCGTGGCTGGAGACCCCCCACCCGGCAGTTGCAGGGGGCGCTGAGTGGGGTGGAGGCTCTGAAGCAGCCCCCCAAGCCCCACTCGCCGTGACCGGCCAGAGCCCTCCAGGAGGGGCTCCTTCAGGGAAGGGCATGCCCCCCATCCCATACCCCACACTCTGGGCAGCCGGGCCCCGGGCCCGTGTTGGGTGGGGCCCGAAATGAGGCAGTTTCTGCTGGGCTGCATTGCTGGGCAGAGGGGACACGTGCATCCTGACCCCCCAGGAGGAGGGAGGGTAACCGGGGAGGCTGCCCCAGCCCCCACCCAGCTGTACAGAAGCTGGTCTTTAATCCCTGCCAGTTCTGAGCCTCCGGCCTCCACGTCCCCTCCCTTGGGAGACCCTGCCTGACCCTGGGCCCATCAGTGCCAGATGGAGCCACACTTTCCAGCTGCTGGGGGCCCTGGGTGAGCTCCATAGGGGCCTGGGCCTCAGTTTTCCTGGCAAATGGACTCTGCCTACCCTGTTCTCCCAAGGGCTGCATCTAAGAGGCTCAGGCAGGGTTGGTCTCCTGCAAAGGCAGGTGTGTGAGACTGCGGTCCTCACTCTTCCCTGTACCCTGGCCATCCTGAGCAAATACCCAGGCCCCCTCTTCCAGGAAGCCCTCCTGGAAGCCATCCTTCCTGCAGCCCAGGATGAGGGCCTTCCTCTCACATAGTCTGAGACCCACTCCCAGGCTGAGCTTTCCCGGCAGGTGGGACCCCTTCTCTCCACCACCTCCTTCTCAAAGCTCGCAGACCCTCACCCACCCCCTGAGCCACATTGGACCCTGCAGGACTCTCCCGGACCCCTCCCATGGAGGAAATGGACTGGCGTGGGTGTCTCCTGGGCAGCCACCCCCGCAGGCAGGCCTGTGCTGCTGGGGCCCCTACCCCAGGCCCTGCTCAAGGTTGCTGTGAAGACCCCCACCCACCCCCACCCCCCCGTTACCATTTCACGACCGGGTGTTGCTGCCTGCCTGGCGGTCTCTGGCGTCTCTGTGCAGCGGCCAGTGAAAGAGCCCTTTCATGCCCACCCCAGGCACCCGTGGCTTCCCTCTGGGCCATCCAAGACCAACAGTCCAAGACCAACAGGCCTCCGGCCAGCTTCCGAGCTCCCGGCAGGAGGCTCATGGGGCCCCGTTGCCCAACGCCCTGCCTGCCACCTGCCGCAGCCCCGCCTAGGGGGCTCCGGGGACCTCCCCCAGCCCTGTTGTGGCGGGGCTTGGGGGCCTGGGGTGGCTGGGACTGTGGGACTGGCTGTCATCCATGGTGCGGTGATTTAGGGGGAGTCGGGGAGGCTGGAGCAGTGGCTGAGTGGAGACAGACCACTCGCCAGTGCCCATCGCTGGCTGGGCTGTGGGGGCTGGGCCTGGCGGGTGGCGCTGAGGGTGGGGGCAGCGTCTGGCCAGGCCATGGTGTCTGCCCCCACCTTCCACCACACCATGCCCGTGCCCAGCGGAGTGAGAGGCCTGCTGTGATACTCTGTCGAGGTCCCTTGACAGTAGCCCAGCCTTTCAGGGGATGAGGGTTATGTCCCTGTGATGCCAGCCCCCTCCGGCAGGAATGACTCACAGGGCGCCCCGGGCAGTGGTAGGCAGGGACTGTGACTACACCAGGACCTGGCCTCATGCTTGCTTGGGCCTGAGCAGCTGGACACTGGGCCCCGGGCAGCGCCTGGTGCCTCGGCCTCTGAACACGAGGCCATGTGCCTCCCTGAGAAGCATCCCCCCGCCCACCGCCACACCAAGCCAGGCTGCCTGGCGGCGGGGCACAGACGTGGCCTGGGGAGCCGGGGCCACCTTCTGGGAGGCAGGCTGTGGGCATCTGGGGCTGGCTTGCTGGGTGGTGAGCAGACCTGGTGAGGGCTGTGGTCAGGGGAGCCCGCCAGCTGGAGCCGGTTCCCGGATGTCCCCGGCCCCTGGAGGTGAGGGTTCACACTGCAGCAGTGCTCAGCTGTCCCCACACCTTGTCCTTGTCTGAACAAGCTCTGCTGGAATCCAGATGTGGTGGCCTGGACGGAGGCCTCTCTGCAGACGCCACCCGCTTATGACCCAGAGCTGGGCTAACCCAGGCTCCGGCTGGCACTGCTGGGCCCAGAGGTGGGCCAGGGGCTCCTCTCTGCCTGCTCCATTTTCGTCTTGGGGGTCCCTGGGGCACCCAGAGAGAGGTGGACGCCCGGGCTCCACTGCTCCCGGCATCCAACCTCGTTTCCCCATCTGTAAAGTGGGCACCGTGGACTCAGCAGTGGCCAGTGAGTCCCCGGGCTTCAGCCACCCTCAGGGCCCTGGTGTCCCCTGCGCCTCCCGGCTCCCCACTCCTGCAGGGCCTGAATCCCTGGGGGTGGGTGTAGCTGTCTGTCTCCTCCCCAGGGCTGCTGACTCCCCAGAGAGATGCAGCCACGGCCTCGGGAACCTGCTGAGCAGCCCAGGGCCATCCCTCAGCTCCAGGACCTGGTCATTTGTCTCTACAAGAGGACACGATTTCCGGCCTCATGGGTGGTCATGAGACAACTGCAGACAATGAGTGCCCGGCCCCCCGGGTCGTGGAGATAATGAGCCTCGCACAGCATCTCCACTTGGCTCCCCATCAGTGGCCACGCTGGGGGGTGGGGGCTGGGACACAGAGGCCCTGGGCACTGATGGGGGCTCCGCACAGCACGGCCCCGGCTGCTAATGGGGTCTGAGAGCTGTGAGCATGTGGCCGGGTTATTATCTCCTGGCCTCTTAATGTAGACTGCCCGAGTCCTGCTGATGAGTTGCTGTTGGGGAGGGAAGCGGCCCCCTTGAGCTCGTCAGCAGCAGGCAGGGAGAGAGAGCCTCGGCGGAGGGGGAGAGAGAGGGCCTGGTGCTGCTCGGGGGGCGCCCCAGAGGCAGTGC